CCTATATTTTCATTGGGATCGACGATTAATTGTCTGTGTGTTTTTGCTCCCCCCTGATTGACGGACAGGGGTCCTTCCACTTTCTCCCCCCTTCTCCGCCTCTGTTTGACGGAAGGGGTCCGCTCTTGCTGCATCGTACCGCCTTCCGTCAAAGAGGGGGTCTGTTGGATGGCCCATTCGTGATTGAAGGTGTGGACTATTCAGGCGCATGTCTCGAAGACGCCGACGGCGAATCACCGCCGTCCCCTGCCTTTTGGAAACGCCCATGAAGCCAAACGTTCGGCCGAAGGCTGGCGAAGTTGTTGGAATATAGTGGTACCATCTTGGAGGAACACTTGGGAGGGGAAGAGACAAGTGGAGGAGGAGGAGGAGGAGGAGGAGGAGGAGGAGGAGGAGGAGGAGGAGGAGGAGGAGGGGGGGGAGAAGATGGAAGAGGAGGAGCACGAGGACGAGGAGGAGGAGGAGGAAGACTAGGCCTCTGAGGGCCTCTTGCGGGCTTCCTGGGGGCCTCTTGAGGGCCTCTGAGGGGCCCTTTTGGGGAGCCCCTTGGGGCTCTCTCTGGGCAGCCGTGGGTCACTCTTGTCTTGGAGGTTTGTGGGTCCGTCTTGAGGCCACATTGCGGGCTTCTTGGGCCGTATCGGGGCCCTCTTGGGACGTTTTGCTGGCCTCTTGGGAGCCTCTTGGGCCGTCCTTGATCGTCGGGAGCCGAAATGCCGAGAACGATAACTCTGAAACCCTTTAAAGGCATCAATGATTTGGGTATCTCGAAGGTCCTCTTGGAGCCCTCTGGAGGCATCTTGGGGGCTTCTTGGGCCGTCTGGAGAGCATCTAGCTGGGACCGTCTTGAGGCCATTTTGGCTGTCTTGGAGGCATCTGGGGACCATCTTGGAGGCCATCTTGGCCGTTTTGGAAGGACTGCGGTGGATGCTGAGGTCGTCATGGGCCCGTCGGGGTGGCCGGCGCATGAGGCCGACATCCCACGGGAGCCTCTGAATCGGACAACGACGCAACGTCCAGGGAGCCATATGTGCCATTGTGGCAAGCCAAGCCCTGGGGGCGGTGGATCTCATGGCCTTCGGTCCAGTCCCGCCACCGCGCCCGGGCCGTGGGTGCATTCTGGAGGGCTCTTGCAAGCCTCGCGTGGCCTCTTGGGGGGGCCTCAGGGGGGGGCATCCTGGGGGCGTCTCTGGGGCCCCCTGGGGGCTTCCCGGGGGGCCTCCTGGAGGCCTGCGGACGGCCTCGGGGGTCACCTTGAGGCGGAGGGATTGACATGTCAGTTCGGTTCCCCCCCCTTTGGGCCTATCGCGGGGCCGCCTCGGCCCGTCTTGGGGGCTTCGTGGGCTGCCTTAGGTGCCCCTCTTGGGCCGCTTGGGGGCCCTCCTTGGGGCCTCTTGCGCCGTCGCGTGGCTATGTCGTGAACCTCTCGGGCCGTCTCGGACCGTCGGCGAGCTTGCCCGAACATGATGACAGCACAAGCTGTGCCCTGGTTCGGCGGCGCGCCCAGGGGAGGAGGAGGAGGAGGAGGAGGAGGAGGAGGAGGAGGAGGAGGAGGAGGAGGAGGAGGAGAGAAAGAGGAGGAGGAGGAGGAGAAAGAGGAGGAGGAGGAGGAGGAGAGGAGGAGGAGGAGGAGGAGGAGAAAGAGGAGGAGGAGGAGGAGGAGGAGGAGGAGGAGGAGGAGGAGGAGGAGGAGGAGGAGGAGGAGGAGGAGGAGGAGGAGGAGGAGGAGGAGGAGGAGGAGGGAGGAGGAGGAGGAGGGGAGGAGGAGGAGGAGGAGGAGGGGGGGGGGGGAGGAGGAGGAGGAGGAGGAGGAGGAGGAGGAGGAGGAGGAGGAGGAGGAGGAGGAGGAGGAGGAGGAGGAGGAGGAAGGAGGAGGAGCAGGAGGAGGAGGAGGAGAGAGGGAAGGAAAGGGGGGGCGGGCCTCCTCAGAAGGCTCAGAGGGCCTCCAGCCTGTGAAGAAGCTTTTTCTTTAATCCTCCTCCGAAGCCACACAGGGCTGGTCAGAAGGCGGGAGGGCCTTCGAGTAGAGTTTGCCTTCTCTGATCCGCATCGCCCAAACAGCCACGAATCATACGCAATAGCCCGAGTACCATTCGATCGTTCGTCAAATCATTGGGGGTGGCGGGTGAGTCAAAACGTACCATTGTCATTGGCTTTGGCCTTGCCCTGGCTCGCCGAAATCTTCGGAGGGCAGTCCTTGTTGAACCGTGGCGTGTCGCACCTGCATGGGGGGGGTAGCCTGGGGTGGCCAGCACGGAAGTCTGGGCTTCGCGCAGGACGGGACTCGCAGAGGAGGAGGAGGAGGAGGAAGAGGAGGAGGAGGAGGAGGAGGAGGAGGAGGAGGAGGGGGAGGCTGAGGAGGAGGAGGAGGGGGAGGAGGACAAGCTAGGTGCGCTCGCGTCATACCTGACATCCTACCCCTCCCTCCCATCCCTTACCATGGCGCAGATCCCCTCTCTACTCGCGCAGTCGGATGTCGAGCAGGGCAATGATCTCGAAAGGGTACGCGATGCATTGTAGAGCACGGCATGGCGTAGACGAGCACCGCAAAGCGTAGTATCAACCTAGCATTGCATTGCACGCCGTGACATGGCACGGGTAACGACGCCAGCGCTGCAGCGGGAGCACAAGTCGAAACGAGCGGAAGCGCGGAAATGAGGCCAGCGCTGCAGCGGGAGCACGATTCGGAACGAGCGGAAGCACGGAAATGAGGCCAGCGCTGCAGCGGGAGCACGATTCGGAAGGAGCGGGGCCCGAAAATGAGGCCGGCGCCTCAGCGAGAGCAGCATTTTGAAAAAAATGCAGGCGAAAGCCCAACTCCGGGGAAACCTGTGTGTAAAAAACAGTACGCGGGGGGGGTCGGACACTTTCAAGCCGTCATCAGGGGAAGAGGGAGAGTAGTATTCATATTGAGTAATTGTGGGGGAGGAGGAGGAGGAGGAGGAGGAGGAGGAGGAGGAGGAGGAGGAGGAGGAGGAGGAGGAGGAGGAGGGGAGGGAGAGGAGGGGGAGGAGGGGAGGAGGAGGAGGAGGAGGAGGAGGAGGAGGAGGAGGAGGAGGAGGAGGAGGTGGAGGAGGAGGAGGAGGAGGAGCACGCTTTTCGGCCCAGCGCCGCTCGAGACGCCGGCGGGAGGGGTCGGCGGGCAGTGCCGTGCAAGCACACCTCTGCGTGCGCTTCGCGTCGGCATGTGCTCTCTGCCCTGGGCCGGCGGAGGGTCCACGGGGGAAGCAGGAGGAGAAAAGGCACACAGTCACAAGTCATCGTCGATTCCCCAGGAACTATGGGAAGATCTGGGCAGTGTAGGGGGGGAGGCAGAAACCCAGAACATATGGGAATATATTCATAGATATAAATAAATAAATAAATATGTATAAGGGGATCCTTTTTCTGTGTGCCTATTTACTCGTGTGCCCCAGGGCCCCCCTTCAGGGAAGGCAGAGGGGGCGGGCCTCCTGAGAAGGCGGGAGGGCTCTGGGAAGCCCCGCTGCCTTCTGAGAAGGCCCGCCCCCTTCTCTCAAGCAGTGGCGAAGCGTCCTATTGTTCTAAGAACCTTTTGTGATTTCCACGAAATGTTCGTAGAGCATGTCTGGCGGAGTCTGTCTTGTTTTATCACGTCGGGCGAATGTTCTAAGAACATGGTTTGGGTTATTCGAACATTTTTGGGTTCTAGGAACATTTCGTGGTAGGACCAGAGGAATGCCGGGACGGTCGGTCCCTGCTCAACTCTCACCTCGCCCCTCAATCGGAGGTTGAGAGGCCTCCTGCCCTGGCACGTCGAGTAGCGAATGGGCCGTTCTCGGTGCGCGAGAGGGCGTCGCGGCCGTCATTTTTTGCGCGTCCAGGTCCGTCGGTTTCGGTCCTACGACGGCCAGAGATGGCCCCGAGAGGCCCCTACGACGGCCAGAGATGGCCCCGAGAGGGAGAGATTCGGGGTGGTACTTGGCGCCTTCTGCTGCGAGATGACGCAAGAAACCTGGTGGTTTACTAGAGGGAGGTTTGTCCAAGGCCGAAGAAATGCCCCCGCCCAAAGGGGGGCCGGGCAGGAGCCGCACGGCGCAGACGTTCCCGGCGAGCTTGGCGGCGAGCGCACGTCGCTCTCCAGCGCCAGCGGCGCGGTTCCGCGGCGCATCTTCTCGGGCAGCCTCTCGCCGTCGCTGGCTGCGTCGCCCACGCCGCCACCGGTCCAGGTGCCCCTTGGAGTCGGGTGGGGAATCAATTCTCGGAGGTCCGCTCAGACTTCTTTGATTGGCGCTGGACCCCTGGCATTTCTTTTAATCGAGCAGCGTCAACCACTTTCGGAGGTCGGCTCGGATTTCTCGGATCGGCCCGGGTCCCCCGTAGCGGCGCCTCCGGCGCCGCCACTGGCCAGTGCCTATCCAAGGAGTCCGCGGAGAAATCCGGAAGTTTATACATCGATCTCCCCTTGCATCTGCATCTCCATGTGAGCGACGCAACAGGGAAGCGGGGCCGGTTGCGCCCGCATTGGCGCGTAAGCTGCCTGCGTAAGGTCGCGCGTACGCGCCCTCGTCTCCAAAGCAGCGTGCCGCGCTGGCGGCCCGAGTGAGCCTTACCAGCCTGGAACATATCCCTATCCCTATGCTGGGCATCTCCTCATCACGATGCCAGTCTTAGGGATCCCCTTATTTTTTTGAGGGCGCATCCCTGAGATTGTCATCGCTTCTTGGCGTGTCAATCTTAGGGATAGGGGTACGTTCGAGGCTGGTAAAAGCCGCCGTGCAAGGTCGCTGTGCCATCTCGTGTGAGGCTCTCGCTTTGGGATCGCCTCTCGTGTCAAGCACCGCCTTGCGCTTCGCATTTCGTGGCGGAGGCGTGGGGCGCAGGGGCCCAGGCTTACATGTCTTTTAACGTTTTATTTATTTTTTGTACTTTAACACAAACAAAAAACGTACCACCAAATAGTCAAATAAGTATTCAAAACATTGTTCCCATGTTCTTTCTCTTTGGCTATTTCTGAATATTCCTCCTGTCGAGAGGCAGGCCAGACTTCAGCCCAGGTGCCCTTGGCGCAGGCGGCTCCGGGATAGGGCCCCTCCCCGTCGAAGAAAAAACGGTTGCACAAGCATAAACTGTCGGAGGCCCGCTTGGACCTACGCTGGGGGCGCCCCTGGCGCGCTCCGCGCGCCAGTGCGGGGTGCCCAAACGCCGACGCGTTCCTCCGAAAGTTTACGCTTATGCCGCTTTTTCCCTTTCCACTAGACGCCCGCCGCCTCCATAATGGAAGGAGGTCGAGGCGGCTGGCTCGCCCTGGCTTATTTCGTAGGAGACAAACTTGCTTAAGCATGAGTTGCCTCGAGCGATCCCTACCCGAAGGCGCAAGCGGCGGGATCTCCAGGAAGCAGCGGCCCCTGGAGACCGTTCTTCCATTCCCTGGCGGTAGCGGGCGTGAGACCGGAGAGGGGGGGGCATAAGCACCGTGCAGAGGGGGGTACGGGGAGGGGGGAAGGCTTCTTAGAAGCACCCCTGGTTCTTAGACGGCGCGGGCCTTATCCATAGTTGTAGGGCGGGCGCCTTCTAAGAAGCAGCCTGCTTTTAAGAAAGCTGCCCCCCTCGTAGCTCAAAAGAGGGGGGTCCTGAATTCAGGTCCCCCCCTCGGAGGCTCAAAAATTGCCTCTTGGGGCCTTGTTGGGGCGCTCTTGGGGTGCTCTTGGGCGCTCTGTGGGCCCTCCTGGGGCCCTCTTGGGCTCATCTCTAGGGCTCTCGTGGGCTCCACTTGGGGCCATCTGGAGGCTTCGGAAGCCTATCAGGAGCGGCAGTCTTGCGCGGCCACTGCCCCGCGGGCAGGCCCGATCTTGCACGACGAGGAAGACGAGGCTCCCAGTGCTCAGCGGGCAAAGTCTTGCGCGATGTGTCCCCGCTCGGCGGCTGGGGCGCCATGCTGCGCCGACGCGCCCAGCGCGGGCAGGCGGAGCGAGCTGCCGCACCCGAGCGCCCAGGATGTCAGTTTGGGGCGTTCCAGACAGGGCCTTGCCTTCAAGATGGGGGGGAAGGAGGAGGATCGAGGAGGAGGAGGGGGAGGAGGATCGAGGAGGCGGAGGAGGATCGAGGAGGGCCAGGATCCTCCTCCTCGATGCTCCTCGATGGTCCTCCTCGGCCATCCTCCTTGACCCTCGTCAATCCTCCTCGGGGCCATGCAAGGCGTTCCAGAAAGGGCTTCGCGCTGCAGGGTCGATGGAGTTGCCATCCCTTCCTCGGCGGAAGGCGGCGGAAGTAAGACGAGGCCGCCTCCGCGGGCGGAGGGCGGAAGCCACCGGAAGCAGCAGTCGACCTCCCGAGAGATGACAACATGTTTGGGTTCAGGGCTTCTGGAATCGGCCAATTGGAGCGCGCCTGTGCCCGAATATGCTGTCAGACGTTGGTGTGGCCAATTGACGCGCAAGGTCGCGCCTGGGCGCCCAGATGGGCGACCGGAGCGCTTCCACTTTGCGATGGCGTGCCCGAGCGGCCAGGCAAGAATCTTTGCGTGAGTGGGTTCAGGCGTGAGCCCCTCCAACCTCATAGGGTGTTGGATACAGCGGGACCGAGGTATAAGATCGAGGTCGGTTCGGGGAGGGTACCTTAATATTCTTCGTGTTGGTTGGATGGTATGGTGCATCCTTGATGTTTCGTGTCTTTGCCGACGGAGGGCCTCATGTTCTTGAGGGATGTTTTTGTCCAGGCCTGTGTCGGACAGTACCCCCCCCCCGCAAATAACGGGAAAATCGTTAGGCTAGTTGAGGGCTGGCGACGCAGAAATAATCGGTACATGATCATTCCGCCGCCGCCGTCGTCGCCGTCGTCGTCATCGCCGCCGTCGCCGTTGCCGTTGTCGTTGTCGTCATCGTCGTCGTCGCCGCCGTCGCCGTCGCCGTCGTCGTTTTCGTAGTTGTCTTCGTCGTCGCAGTCGTTGCCGTTGTCGCCCTAGGTCATAATACGAATACGAGTACCATTTCCATTATACTACGACTCTTACTACTACTACTACTACTACTACTACTACTACTACTACTACTACTACTACTACTACTACTACTACTACTACTACTACTACTTAACTACTACTACTACTACTACTACTACTACTACTACTACTACTACTACTACTACTACTACTACTACTACTACTACTACTACTTACCACCACCACCACCACCACGCACCACCCACTACTACCACTACACTACCACTACCACTACTACTACTACTACTACTACTACTACTACTACTACTACTAGACTACTACTACTACTACTACTGCTACTACTACTACTACTACTACTACCACTACTACTACTACTACTTACTACTACTATTCTACTACGACTACATACTACTACTACGACTACTACGACTACTACTACTACTACTACTACTACTACTACTACTACTACGACTACTACTACTACTACGACTACTACGACTACTACTACTACTACTACTACTACTACGACGACGACGACGACGACGACGACGACGACGACGACGACGACGACGACGACGACGACGACGACGACTACTACTACTACTACTACCACCACTACCACTACTACGACTACGACTACGACTACGACTACTACTACTACTACTACTACTACTACTACTACTACTACTACTACCACCACCACCACTACTACTGCATGTGACTAAAACCTTGGTAAAATCAATGATTCGGCAGTCTCGCCGAGGCCTCTTGGAGCATGTTGGGTGCCTCTGGGGGTCTCTTGGGGGTCTCTTGGCAGCCTCTTGGGGGCATCCTGGGGGCCTCTTTGGGCTTCCTGGCCACCTCTTGGGGCCCTCTTGGGGCACCCTTGTTGGCCTCGGGGGCCATATTTGGGCCATCTTGGGTTAGATCGATCAGAGGAGGGGAGGGGGGGGGGAGCTAATCAGGATCTCCCCCTCTGGAGGCCAAAATGGTTCCAAAAACATAGAAGAACAAATGATTGTGGCTTCCTCGCCGAGGCCATTTGAGACGCCCCGACACCTCGCGAAATTCCGTGTCCACGTCCATGGGGAGGGGGTAGGGGGAGGGGTAAACCCCTACCCGAAGGGGAAGAAGGAGGGGTGGAAGAGGAAACTCCCAAAACCACCGAGGCCCAGAGGGCTGGTGGAATTACTACAACGACGACGACTACTGTTATCACTACTACTACCACTACTCCTACTACTATTACTACTACTACTACTCCTACTACTACTACTACTACTACTACTACTAATGCGACTGCTACTGCTACTACTACGATTACTACTACTACTACTACTACTACTACTACTACTACTACTACTACTACGACTACTACTACTACTACTACTACTACGACTACTACTACTACTACTACTACTACTACTACTACTACTACTACTACTACTACTACTACTACTACTACTACTACTACTACTACTACTACTTACTACTACTACTATACTACTACTACTACTACTACAACTTACTACTACTACTACTAACTACTACATGCTGCTGCTGCTGCTAGCTACTGCACTACACTACTACTGCTGACACACTAACTACTACTACTACTACTACTACTACTACTACTACTACTTACTACTACTACTATGTACTACTACTACGACGACGACGACGACGACGATACGACGACTACTACTACTACGACTACTACTACCACACTACTACTACTACTACTACTACTACTAGTACTACTACTACTACTACTACTACTACTACTACTACTACTACTACTACTACTACTACTACTAGTACTAATACTACTACAACTACTGCTGCTGCTACTACTACTACTACTACTACTACTACTACTACTACTACGACTACGATGATTATTGCGACGAGCATGACTACCATTACTACTCCTACACTCCCCACTACTACTACTACTGCTACCACCACTACTACTACCACTACTACTACTACTACTACTACTACTACTACTACTACGACGACTACTTCAACTACTGCCACGATTACTAGTACTACTACTACGACTACTACTACTACTAAGACTACTACCACTACGAATACCACTACTAATACTACGGCTAGTATTACTACGATTGCCACCACTACTATTACTACTACTACTACTACTACTACTACTACTACTACTACTACTACTACTACGACCACGACTACTACTACTACTACTACTACGACTACTACTACTACTACTACTACTACTACTACTATTACTACTAGTTCTACTACTACTACTGCTACTACTAGTACTACTACTACTACTACTACTACTACTACCGCTACCACTGCCATTACTCCTACTACGGCAAGTAACACTATTACTACTTCTCCCACTACTATTGTTAGCAATACTACTGCTACTACTACAACTATTACTACTACTACTACTACTACTACTACTACTACTACTCCTACTACTACTACTACTGCTACTGACACTACTACTACTACTATTACTACTACTATTGCTACTACTACTACTACTACTACGGCTACTTCTACTACGACTACTACTACTACCACTACTACTACTATTGCTACTACGACTCGTACTGGTACTACTACCACTAGTACTACTATTACTACTACTACTACTACTACTACTACTACGACTACGACTACTACTACGACTACCACTACTACTACTACTACTACTACTACTACTACTACTACTACTACTACTACTACTACTACTACTACTACTACTACTACTACTACTACTACTACTACTACTACTACTACTACTACTACTACTACTACTACTACTACTGTTACGACCACCACTACTACTATCACTACTTTTACGGCTACTACTACGACTGCTACTACTACTACTACTTCTATTACTACTACGATTGCCACTACTACCACTACTCTACTACTACTACTACTACTACCATTACGACTACGACTACGTCCACTACTACGATCACACGTACACCCAGTATTACGACAACGACGACTACCACTTCCATTGTCGCTGGACTGTTACTACTACTACTACTACTACTACTACTACTACTACTACGACTACGGCTACGACTACTACTACTACTACTACTACCACCACTACTACTACTACTACTACTACTACTACTACTACTACGTCTACTCCCTACTTCTACTACTATCACAAACTACTTCTACCACCATTCCTGCTACCACGGTCATTCTCACGACTATTAGCACTACGCTTACGACTACTACTACGACTGCTACTATTTCGACTACTACTACTACGACTACTACTACTACTACTACTACTACTACTTCTACGACTACTACGGCTACTACGACGACGACTACTACTAATACAACTACTACTGTTAGAGACGACTTCTTCTACCACTCGTACTACCGTCCTTCATATTGTCACGGCTACAAAAACTTGTGCATCCACCACGACTACGACTACTACTATTAGTACGATTACGATGGCTACTACATTATCATCGACTAAACCTTACTGCTACTACTGCTACTACTTCTTCCACGGCGACGGCTACTACTATTTTCATTACTTCCACGACTACTACTACTTCTACTACTATTACGACTACCCCGGCTACGACGACGACTACGTCTACTACTGCCACGGTTACTAGTACTACTACTACTTCTACTACTACTACTACTACTACTACTACTACTACTACTACTACTACTACTACTACTACTACGACTACTATGACTAGTACTAGTACGACCAGTACTATTAAAACGACTACACTACTACGATTTCTATTAATACTACTACGACGACGACTACTACTACTACTACTACTACTACTACTGCCATGCTACTATTGCTGCTACTACTACTACTGTTACTTCGACGACATCGACTACTACTACTACTACTACTACTACTACTACTACGACCACTACTACTACTACTATTACTACTACGATTTCTACTTCACTATTACTACCACGAGTAGTATGGCCACGATCACGACTAACAGTATTACTTTTATGTTTTTCTATTGCTACCCCTACGACTACGACTACTCCTACCACGACTAGTATTATTATTACTACTACTGCTACTACTACTACCATTACTGCTTGTACTATTACGGCTACCACAAGTGCCACCCCTACGACCTTTACGGCTACTACGCCCACTACCACGACGACGACTAATATGACTACTTCTAGTACTACTACTACTACTACTACCACTACTACTACTACTACTACTACTACTACTACTACTACTACTACACGCACAACTACTACTACTACCACTACTACTGCTACTACTACTGCGACTACTACTAGTACTAGTACTAGTACAACTACTACGACTACTACTACTACTACTACAACTACTACTACTACTACTACTACTACTACGACTACTACGACTACTACTACTACTACTACTACTACTGACTACTACCATTACTACTACTACTACTACTACTACTACTACTACTACTACTACTACTACGACTACTACTACGACTACGACTACTACTACTACTACTACTACTACTACGACTACTACTACTACACGGCTACTAGTACGACTACTCGTACTTTGTTACGACTACCACTACTCTTACTACGATTACTACTACTACTACTACTACTACTACTACTACTACCACTACTACTACTACTACTACTACTACTACTACTACTACTACTACTACTACTACTTCGACTACTACTACTACTACTACTACTACTACCGCTATTTCGGCTGTTACTACTACTACTACTACTACTATTACTATTACTGCTGCTAGTTTTACGACGACTACTACCACTACTACTACTACTACTACTACTACTACTACTACTACTACTACTACTACTACCACTACTACTACTATTACTACTACTACTACTACTACTACTACTACTACTACTACTACTACTACTACTACTATTAATACTACTACTAATACTTATACGACTACTACTTCTACCACCTGAGCCCCTTCGACTACTTCTGCGCACAAGAAGAGGCAGATATATTCCCACGACCAATGCTTGTATCACGACGAGACGTTTCGAGGGGAACGTAAAGACTTGTAGTACACTTGGTGCACGAACGGGCACGGAATTTTTGTTTTATGCCGTGTAATCCAGGGGTGCGATCCGCCTCGGCAAACAACCACCCAACAAAATCCAACACGACGAATAATAGTGGGTAACAATTATGGACGTCTCCTCTCGACTACCAGCAGCACTACGTCAACCAGCTGTATTGCGTCTACCAGTAGTACGTCTACCGAGCGCGAGCTGAGGAAGAGGAGAAATGGAGGAGGAGAACGAGGAGGAGGAGGTGGACGAAGACAAAGACAGGGCGAACGGGGAGACGCACAAAGTTAATTTCCAGACAAGCCAAAAGCTTTCTGGGAGGGCGGCAGGATTGACAACTTAATGAGGTTAAGTGTGAGCGAGTATGAGTGCAAGCAGGGAGAAGGGACGAGGCGGGTGGGGATATGGAAGAAGAGGAGGAGGTGGAGGCGGAGGCGTCAAACTCATGTCAAGAACCTCTTTTTGGGCGTTGGGAGCCATCAGTCGTCGGAGGCGAAGGGTGTGCGCGGTTCCAGCGCACCCCCAGTCCCCGCCAGCCGTCGCGAGAGGTGCCAGGGACCGGCTCCGATGCCGACGGGGGCCCGGGATCGCCCGACCTGCACGCGGCGCCCTCCTCGGCCCCCAGCCTCGGTGGATCGCGGCTCGCGCGCGCGAGGCCGCCGGGTTCGGCCGGGGCAGAGGCGGCTGTCGGGGGGCGGGCGGGGAGGGGTCGAAGCGGCGCGTGCCACCTTCGGCCGAGAGGTCCAAGTCACTGCGGAAGTGGAAACGGAGGCTTGCCCACGTTTTTCGCCGGTGTTCGGCCTCGGGAAACCTTCGCCGGGCCCCGGGACGGTCAGGATGAAAAGCCAGTCCCCGGGAGTGGGTCGAGACTTCTGTCGGGGCTCAGGGGACGGAGGTCAGTGCAAACGGGAGTTAACCAGAGCGCCGGATCTTGCAGCATCTGGCAGAGCCAGGGGTGCATTGACTGGGGCTTGGGCGCAGGATCTTGCAGGATCCGGAACATCTTGCAGGACCCTGCAACGCCTGTCTGACCAGTGTTTGGATTGACCCAGGCCAGCAGATCCCCGATTCTGGGGACCCCGTGCTGAAAATGAGGCATTGGATCTTTGGGGTCTCATCTCAGGAGGGGAAAGAACACACAGACAAAATTAATCGTCGATTCCCCTAGAAAATATTGGAAAATGTGGAACGTCGGGGGGAAGGCAAAAACCCAGAAAACATGTATGAAAATATCAGGAATCCGGGGAGTTGTGTGTATGTATTTGTGTGTGTCCCTGGGCTCCTTTATCATCTCGCCCTCGGCGGGAGGGAAGGCGGCGGCGGCTCCACTGGCGGAAGCTTGGCGGAGGGCGGCGGCAGAGAAGGTGCTCTTGAGGGGATCGGGGCGGTCGCGGGAAGAATCACCAGAGAAGAAGGAACCACCACCACCAGTTTAGGGGGGAATGGCCGCTCCCCCTCCCCGAGCTGGTGGCACCCCGCTCCGAGCGCGCCCCCAGAGAGTGCCCGCACCAGAGTGCCACCAGCTCGGGGTGGTGATCTTTGGGGACGGAGTTCTGTGGAGTTCTGGATTATAGTGGCTCGTATGGACCCTGAGATCTGGGCATCGCCTTTCAGCTCACACCGGGCATGTTCGCCCAGTATTGGGCCCAGGGGCTCTCACGCTTCGATCCGGCTCGAGAGGCACCGCAACATGATAGGGTCGAGGGCGCTGGGCGCGGTTTTCTGCGATGTGGCCTCTGCCTCGTGTGTTGCCAGTGGTGGCACTGGCCCAAGAAGGATTCTCTTGTACGTTTGGCTGCAGCTCGAGTGAATCGCAGGGTGCGGCGAGCACGCTGAGATCATGAGCAAAAAACATATCCGTATCCGTATCATGGGCTGGGCCCCCGGGCTGCGACCCCGCGGATACGGGATTGTTTTTCGCGGATGCCCCGCGCAGAACGTGTCTGTGCGACCGCGAATCCGCGGGATCGCGCCCCGACATGCAGACCGCGAGGGCGCGGATATGGATATGAGGCGTTGTTTGAGCCGCTGCCTCTTCGAGGAGACCGCTTGCTTTGTGCAGTGGCTTCCCAGGCGACGGCCACAGCGGCAGGCCTCAGCTCATCCAGGCGGGCAACGATGGCATCCAGAGTGCCACCCACAAGGCCCAAAGGGCCCCAGCTCGGCATCGATCGATCGTGTGCATGTTTGTTCCCAACCATCCTGTGGTGGTGGGTCCTCGTTTTGAAGAGACAGCGCCCCGCGTTCCCACTCCTCCTCTTTACGCTGCCCCCCCCTCCTCTCATCATCCGTCAGCATCATCATCATCAGCAGCAGCAGCAGCATCATCATCCATCATCATCATCATCATCATCATCATCATCATCATCATCATCATCATCATCATCATCATCATCATCATCATCATCATCATCATCATCATCATCATCATCATCATCATCGTCGCCGTCCCACACCTCATTCCCGCTGCCCCCTCCTCCCTCCTCCCCCTGCTTGCCTCTGCTCTCCACATGTCCAAAATTTCTGCACACCCTACACGCTGTGCGTGGCCCCATAGGGAGCTCCACCGAAGGCGCCAGTGGCACAGGCCGCATACGCCCGACGCCCATTTAGGCACACCCCTCACATGGTTCGAGGCCCTATATGGAGCTCCACCGAAGGCCCCAGTGGAACAGGCCGCATGCGCCCGACGCCCATTTTGGCACACCCCTCACACGGTTCGTGGCCCCATAGGGAGCTCCACCGAAGGCCCCAGTGACACAGGCCGCATCCACCAGACGCCCATTTTGGCACACCCCTCACACGGCTAGTGGCCCCATAGGGAGTTCTACCGAAGGCCCCAGTGGCACAGGCCGCATGCGCCCGACGCCCATTTGGGCACACCCCTCTGGCCCCATAGGGAGTTCCACCGAAGGCCTCAGTGGCACAGGCCGCATGCACCCGAAGCCCATTTGGGCACACGCCGCACACGGTTCGTGGCGCAACAGGGAGCTCCACCGAAAGGGCTACCCATAACGCGGTTTTCACAACTGCTTATGATTAAGTCCTTCGCCAGGATATTCGGAGAGGAGCATCGAGGAGCATGTTTCCTCAGCTTGCGGAAAAATACATGCGGAACTGACAGATTCAAGGGGAATGGACGTCCGAGCCATGGCAGACAGGGGGCCCAAAATGGAGTGGAAACTTGTGGGCAAAGTACCTTGGGTTACCACCCCTGACAGCCTCTGAGCGTCGGGGGGGTCGAGATTGGCACGGAAAGTATGGTGACGATCCTGCCCATCTTGAAGTCTTGAAGCAGGGCTTGTTGCTCGTGTCGCGGCAGATGCTGTCCACTCGAGGCACACGTCGCCAGCGCAGTAGCGGCCGCTGTCAGTTTTGCACAACTTCCGTCGTCGAGCGTCGTCCCGGTTTTTGGCCGGCCCCAGTTGAGGCGTGCTAGCTTTGCATGGGATCTGGTCAGGTCTGGGCGCCGTGAAAGAATCGTCGACGAGTCTTCTCGCCCCAAGTGAGATCGCCGGGGCCTTCACACAGATCGGGCCAGCTCGAGACTCGAGAAGTGCCGCGGGGGGTTGTGGCCGAGCGTTGCGGTCGGAAGTTTTCAACGACCTTGTGTCAGCATCGTTTTACCGACCCTTATCCTTATTCCCATTACCATCCAGGCGCCCACCATCTGAGCACCCCCCAGTTCGGGATATACCCTTCGAAAGCCGAAGAAAACCGCTTCTTTCCCCATCTAGGGAGGTAGTTCGGCCATTGTGGCCCAGGGAGTCGCCACTCTTCGTGGGCTCGTGGGAGCCGCAGTGGAGGCGAGGGATCAGTTGGGAGCTCGCGGCTCAGTTGGGCGCACTGCGCAACTGTCGCCACTTCTCGCGGGCCCCTGGGGAGCACGGCGGATGCGAGGGCGGCGCAGATCACTTGGGATGTTCTGTCTCCCTCGGGGGCCGTGTCCTGCGCCATTGTCGCCACGTCCGTGGGTCCTGGGAGGCACGGCGGAAGTGAGGGCAACGCGGATCATGATGGAACTCGCGGTTATGTCGGGGGCTGCGAAGTGCGCGATTGTTTTTTTTTTCGCGAGATTTTGAGAAGCACGGCAGAGGTCAACGCGGATCATTTGGGACCTCGCGGCTCCGTTGGGGGTTGCGAGCTGCGCAGTTGTCACATGTGTTCGTGGGCTCCTTGGAGGCACGGCAGAGTGCGGGGTAACGCGGGTCATTCCCGACGCCCTTGTGTTAGGTTCTCCTTGTGAATGGAGCACTGTGGTCTCCTCCTCCTCCTCCTCCTCCTCCTCCTCCTCCTCCTCCTCCTCCTCCTCCTCCTCCTCCTCCTCCTCCTCCTCTCTCTCCTCCGCCTCCTCCTTCCCCTTCTCATCCGCCTCCTCCTCCTCCTCCTCCTCCTCTTCCTACATCCTGTGCGTTCCCCCGGGTGATGAGAACAGCGTAGCGGTCGCCATTTTCGTGAGCTCCTGGGAGGCACGGCGGAGGCCGTCGGTCATGAGGCATATCGCGGATCCCTGGGAGGCTGCCAACTGCGCGATTGTCGCCACTTTTCGTGGGCTCCTGGGAGATGCAGCGGAAGCGGCAGTCACGCGAGACCTCGCGGTTCCGTCGGGGGCTGTGGAATTGTCGCCACTGGCGTAGGCCCTTGGGAGGTGCAGCGGAGGCGATAATCACCTGAGGCCTCGCGTTTCTATGGGAGGCTGCGAATTGCGCAACTGTCGCCGCATTCGTGGGCTCCTAAGAGGTGCAGCGGAAGCGGTTGTCACGCGAGGTTTCGCGTCTCCTTGGGAGGTTGCGAATTGCGCAACCGTGGCCACTTTGGTGACCTCCTGGGAGGTGCAGCGGAGGCGGTGGTCACGCAGATCCAGGCGTTTCTATACAGAATTAGTCGCCTCGCGTGGAGAAGGGGCTGTGTACGTCTCGGGTGTGAGCTGTTTCTTCCTCTTCCTATATGATTATAAACCCAGGCGGGGGGAAAACCCATCCCCCCCCCCCCCCAAAACCGGACTCCCGGGACCTGGGGCTTTGGGGCCCTCCGGACGGGCCTCGAAGCGGCCACTGGGCCTCGCAAGGCGTCTTGCCAAGCCTTCCCAGCACACTTAGGGCGATCAGGGGGTCATCGGAGACGTCCCAGAGACCCCCAAGACAGCACAAGAGCGCTCCAAGAGTGACCGACGTGACCTCAAGATGGCCCAAGAGGCCTCCAGGACGGCCCCAAAGAGGCCTCCAAGAGCACTCCCAAGAAGGCCCTCCGAGGCAAAAATCATTGATTTTCTTTGCGTTTTGGTGAATTTGGGATTCTCCTCTTTTCGGCTTCCCGACGCTCCAAGACGGCGGTCTTCTGGGCGTCCGAAGCCGCCTGGGAGGCTCCCAAATCGCCCCACAACCATCCGAAAGGGCTTCCAGGCAGCCCAAGAGAGCCCCAAAACGGCACAACACGGGTCCAAGATGGCCCTCAGAGAGCCCCATGGCGGCCCAGGATGGCCCAAAGACACCCTCCGAAGAATTCCAAATCGTGATCCGGTCGTTCAGGGAGACGGCGGTTGGAGGCAAGGTGGCCCGAGGAAGCCCCCGGAGGCCCCCAGAATGCGCCCAGGAGGCCTCCAGAAGACCTTAAGAAAACCCGAAACAACTTTTGTGAGCCCTCTAGAGGCTCTCCAAGGAGGAGCCTCCGCAAAAAAGAGCTGAGGAGGATGGCGAGAATGCGCAGAATATGGCGAAAAGAAGGAACAATAAGCATGGAGGAAGGATAACGAATAACATCATTATAGCGGCGATGCCGGAAAAGGCAACCAGGAGTCATCGCTAATTCCGCCTGCATACCAGACTTCAGGGACCAAGGTGCATGGCGCGAAGCGCCACTGCAGTCTTGTGTTTATATGTGTATATGTATACATATACGGTGGCGGTCGTTACCCGGCGGGGGGGGGGTAGGGGGGGGAAGTGGGTCGGCCCCTGGGGGGAACAGTTGCGCTTGGGCAGGGTGGGGCCCCGCGTCGCGGTCGCCATAGTTTGCGCGCGAGCAGCAGCAGGTGTGGGTGGGTTCCCGCCCCCCCCCCCCGTCTTCACCGCTACAGGGGGGGAGGGGTTTGGGCCGAGCAAAACCACCGTCTCGCGCCAGACGACCAAACAATCCCAGACGCCAAGAGCGGTCCAGACCTTGCGTCGTGATTCAGCTACGGCACGAGGAGCGACCAGGCTTAAGTCGGGCATGTCCCGCTGCAGGAGGAATATTCAAAAATAGTGTGCAAATATTACGGGGACGATTTTTTGATTCTTGGGTACTTTCGAGCAAGTCTTGCCTACGTTGCATTCTTCGTCCTACATCCTTGGAGGAAATGCCCGACCTAAGACCAGGGCCCCGCCGCGACCTTTCCGTTCCAGGGGGCGCGGGTCTGCGCGGGCAGTCTGGGCCTGTCTGGCCTAGGCCCGTCTCGCGAGCGGCACGCCCGATCTGCGCCGCTGCCCGGTTCGATTGCCCCAGGATCAGCGAGGGGAAGAGGAAGGAGGAGGAGGAGGAGGCGGAGGAGGAGGAGGAGGAGGAGGAGGCGGAGGAGGAGGGCGTGGAGGAGGAGGGTGGAGGAGGACGGAGGAGGAGGAGGAAACGAGGAGGAGAGGGAAGGGAGGAGGAAAGGGAGGAGGAGGAAGGAGGGATGAGGAGGAGAAGGGGAAGGAGGAGGAGGAGGAAGACGATGAAGAGGAACAGGAGTGAAGAAAAGAGAGGAGGGAGGAGGAGGGAAAGGGAGAAGGAGCACAGAGTAGGGAAGACGAGGATGAGGAGGAGGAGGAGGAGGAGGAGAAGGAACAGGAGTGGGAGGAGGGTGGCAAAAAGTGAGTCGGAAAAGAGAGGAGGGAGGGAGGAAGAGGAGGAGGAGGAGGAGGAGGAGGAGGAGGAGGAGGAGGAGGAGGAGGAGGAGAAAAGAGGGAGGAACCGAATAGAGAGAGGGAGAGAGGGAGGAGGAAGAGGGCGAGCGACGGAGGAGGCCCTGCAGAGCCGAGGCGTCCAGCCACGGGCGTGGCAGCGCCTGGTCGGACACGCCGGACGCACACGCCGCCGCCCTCGGCCGTCCCGCGAGCCGCGGGGCGAGCAGCGGGCCGTCGTCCAGCCTCGGCGCGAGCAGGCCGGGCTTTGCGCCTCAAAACTTTGCCCCAAAGCACACGGGAGTTTCGGAAGGTGAAGGCCGAGGCAGGAGGAGCAGGATCAGCGGCGAGCCCCAGGAGCGAAGTGAGAGGGGGCGGGCCTTCTCAGAAGGCTCGCAAGGCCCCTGGCCTGCTGAGAAGTCTTTTTACTCAGCCTTCCCCCAAGACGAATAAAACCTCGGGACGGGAACGGGGGGGGGGATGACGGGGGGCGGAGGGGGGTGGATGGAGGGCGGGCGGAGGGGGGGAGCACAGAGGAAGGGGATGTTGGTGTGGGGGAGCGGTCTGGTGGATGGCGGGGGCAGACCCAAGGGGAGAGGGCAGGGAGAGCGGTACGACCCAGAAGCTCGAGCAGGAAACGCTCCAGACCACCTCCGCCTCGTCATCGTCGTGGTCGTCATCGCCATCATCGGCACCGTCCTCGCCATCGCCCCGAACGATCGGCGATTTCTCGACCGCTGGATTGCTACAGTCGGGGCCCTGAAGAAGGAACCCTTTTGGTTGGGTAGGGGCTCCGTGTTCCTTAAGTGTTTCACAGCTTGCCTCAGGTTTCCCTTATGTGTTCGATCGGAAATCGAAGTTAACTTATGGAAAAAAGGGGCCTCGTTCCTTATTTGGGGTTCCTTCGGTCAACGCCCCGACTGCCACGTGCTGGCCGGTGCCGGGCCCCACGGCGGCGCTCGGCCCCGAGCGCCCGCAGCGGGGCCGCCGCCGCGCCGCCTCGCCACTCGGAGCCACCATGCCGCTGCCCTGGTTCGCCGTTTGCCCCGGGCTGGTGGGCTGATGCTCTTCGTCTGCCGCCCCGTCCCCCGAGACTCGGGGGCGGAAAAGAGGGGGGT